ATTCATTAATGATCTACCTGATATATTTGACAGGTCATGCACTCCAGTAAAATTAAATGATACAAATCTAAGCTGTTTGCTTTACGCAGACGACCTAGTCTTATTATCCGAATCCAGGGCAGGGTTACAAAATTGCCTCACAAAACTTGTTTACTCTACCAAAAAGTGGAAGTTAAACATTAATCTTAAAAAATCCAAAGTTCTAATATTTGGAACACCAACCCAAAAACGTTGGCATTCTACATAAATCTGGTCATTCGGCAAAAATATTTTGGAACAAGTTGATGAATATTGTTATCTGGGTATTACTCTTCACTTTTCTGGTACTTTCAAGCGAGCACAAAAGATAATCTACGGAAAAGCATTACATGCCTATCATAGTATATTTAAAAGTTTCTCAAATGTCGAAAATGTTCCAATAAAATTAATGTTAAAACTACTGTAAATTCAAAAGAGTCAAAACGACGGAGAAAGAGTCGTTCTGGGGTCAAATTGACCCCAGAACGACTCCTTTTCTGTCATTTTGACTCTTTCGAATTAACAGTGATACTCCAATCTTATTATACGGTTGCGAAGTGTGGGGTCCGCAATTATTGGGCAGAATAAACTCTTTCGAAATGTTCAAGAAAAATTTTTTCCAAATCAATAGATTCAAAATCAACAAACATGGCTATTTATGCTGAGCTAGGAAGAACGCCTTTGATCGTTCAAATAGCTAAGCTGGTTGTAAAATATTGGTTTCGAATTAAAAGTTCATTGTTCTCAAACACGCTTGTTGGAAAAGCAGCGAATGTATGCATAGAACTTAACCTAAAGTCAACAATTTTTCTCAAATATGCACTGCAACTATGTGGGGGAGAAAATTGCGATTCACAAACTGAATTATCCAACTTGCAGTCGGAATTATCTGCCACAGAAAAAGGAAATGTTTGCCATCACGTGAAACATAGATTTAAAGAAGTGTTTATATTGTATTGTGCAGAGCAGTTTCAACCTGTCGAAAATACTGGCAAGCTAAGAACTTTTAGAAAAATAAAAAAACACTTTGAATGTGAAAAATACTTAAACGAAATTAGTAATTTCAAATATCGTCAAGCTGTTACAAAGTTAAGAATATCAGCACATATAAGCTAACTGTTGAAACTGGTAGATACAACAATGTCCCATACAATGATAGACTATGCAGACTTTCTGAGTTAAATGAAGTAGGAGATGAACATCACTTTTTAATGTCTTGTACAAACATGAAGTTCATCGACCTCAGGACAAAATTCATTGAAAATTTATATAAAATAAATAAGTTTTTCAACTTATTTCAGTACTTCGAAAAACCTATTTATATATATTATGACTATGAAGGATAAGTCAATAATGAAGATAGTAGGCAAATATTGTTTCAACGTTTTGGTTGCTTTTGATAGCCTGGTCTAATTACTCAAGTGTGCGTGTGCATGTATGTGTATTTATACATTTATCAAGTTTTTTCATATATATTAATATCTATGTTATTGTTATAGACCGTAACGACTTATTTAGTTATTTACCCATGTATTCTATGTCCCAATATTGGGACTTTGTTTGAATAAATTATTGTTATTATTATTATTATTATTATTATTATTATTTCTTTCATATTTTAATAGTATATTCATAGCAATGTCATATGGACACAGTCACACACGTGCAGTCAACAGACAGGCACACACATAGTCACGCGACAACAGTAAGTTCTGAAATGTTTTGAGTAAACATTATACAAATATTTTGAATAAACAACAAATGTTAATTTAGTGTTTGATCAGGTGCATAACATCACAAACGTTTTCTGATTGGTCGAGAGGCGACCAGGTGCCTATATAAGCTGACTCGTCGATCGTGCATGGATAAGGTGAAGCTTGACTAAGCAATAAAGAAGATCTTTTTTGTGTGATCAACTAGAAGGAAAAATGCAGCAAACTACAACTATCCAAACTCAAGAAAAGATGGAACGACGAAGAAAAATCTCAGCACACAACATCTTTCCGAGTCATAATGGTGCTTTATCCCATGTTGTTGCATTTGTCGCCACTCTGGGTTTTGTTATTTATTCTTCCAGCGACAGTAAAGAAAAGAAAGAATCGTTTATAAGAAAACATCTAGATTCAACTATTAATTTTATTCATCTGTTAACATTTGCTACGTGGGTTGGCATTCAAGTTTGGGTGCAAGTGTCAGGTAAGATCTATCTCTAACATTTGAGTACACCCAAAATTAAAGTTATAGAAAGTGCTCTAAAATTATTTTTAGCTAAAAGTTTTATTAGACCGTTCGTTCAACTTTAACGCCTGTTTTTGATTCCAAAACGTGTGCGCACCAAGTTGGGGAAACTTGTGACTTTGAGTCGTTGACAATTGGGATACAGTTAAGAGAGCTCAACGTTCAATATAGGATCAAGAAACCCTGTATAAGAAAAAAATAAACCTGAAATATAAGAAACCCTGCATGATGAGGGGGTTGCCTTTAGAGTGCAGCTTTTACCTGTAGTCTTAACCATCGACTTCATGGTACAATTAGAGAAATAAGTCTATTACAATGAATCACAACACTCTCTGACACGATATTTTTATTTACGAGCTTTCGGCTATCAGATCTATAACCTTCAAGAGAACGTTGTGATGACTGATGTATAATTAATGTTTTTGATCAGTTGTTTGTTTTCCCGGGAAAGTTAATTTTCTCTGTAGTATTAATTAATGAAGGTATTTCTGTTTGTTCTCACAGGTTTCACGATGTTTAAAACGTTGACCAGAAGCGCGTTTGCGCAAGTCCAGAGTCGAATCTTCCCAATGTACTTCATATCTGGCATAATAATGAGTACTATCTCGCTCTTCACTCATCTGTACATGAATCCCGTGAAATCATGGCAGGAAGACAGTCTATCTTTGTATCAGGTGTGTAACTCGCGGCATTTGTGCTTTTCCATGCGGTATATTGTACATTAATCTTTCTCAGGCCGTGCGACCAGGCCTTTTCCTGACATGAGCTTCGTCGCATGGCACGAGGAAGGCTATAGTTTGGCCAATACATAGTTATGAAATTACAGCAATCGTGTCTTCCGTCAAAAAGGCTCTCTATAACCTTAGTCCGTACTCTTTCTCATTTTACTGAATTATGCCAGTCAATTTAAGAATTGAATTTCACAGATTGAAGACAAGATCAATGTATATAGGTTAAAATTAATAAATGTTTAAAAAACATTTGTGGCAAAACAGGAAGTTAAATATAAATGTCTTCAACTAACAGCTGGTCCTGGGAAAAAGAAATCAATGCATATCATTTTTCGTAAACAAAGTGACTCGGCGGCTGTCCGTGTCACTTTGTGCTGTTTTCTACCACTGCAACAGTATGTAGTTTGCTCGCAGCGACATGTTGTACACTAATCTAATAGATAAATTACAATGGAAAGATTTTCATCCTATTTTCAACACCTTTGACCTTACAAGTTCCGTTTTCGGCCTTTTGTGGCACTTTCGTCTTTAGCAAGCTTTCTCGTTATGTGCGTAACCAAAATCCATCCTATATAAATTAATACACACGATTAATTTTAGAGTACCTTGTCTATATATCAAGACAGCCTCTGTTATCGTGACATAGTCGGCGATGTGAAATAGACTGGACATATCTTGTATTTCTATCAAACCATGCAGACTTAAGCTGAATTTCCACTTACAGAGAAATATTTCGGATTTCCATTTCGTGGTCGAAATATTTTGCTTGATTCCTTTTGAATTGTGACCATCCAAATTCTAATTGACTGTTCAGAATTCAAAAGAAATTAAGCGAAAAATTTCGACAACGAAATCTTTCTTGCAAGTGGAAATCCAGCTTTAGTCTTTAGCAAACTTATTGATTAAAATAACGAACATGTAATTTCATGTATAGGCACTCAGTATCTCTGTTTCCTTGCTGTGTTCACTTGTGAATTACTTCTACCTTGGACCTGAGACGATCAGGATGGTGCAGATCAGAGCACAACGTGTAAAGTTTCTCGGAATTGAAGATGGTGTTGGTCCAGTTAGCCCAAAACTCGTAGAGCATGATTTTACGTACAGGGAAATAAAACAAAGATTTATCAAAATGCATGCAGCATGTTCTATGGTGAATGTTATATGTTATGGTGCTTGTGGTGTCAACCTGTGGTGCTTGGCTAGTAAGCAAGTCTTGTGTTAGGTTTATACTGGATAAACATGCTTCCGACTGCCGAGAGTTGCGTCTGAACTACACTAGAAAAGCCGGCAACAGGGCGGAGTTTTACTAGTACATCAAAATCGATGAACACTCTCGGTGCTGTTTGGAGTGATAGTTGATAGTATTTCAACTCATTTTGTCGTGGACGACAACGGAATGCATACATGAACACACTGGAAACAGTAAACCCATACTAGACATACTACCTAATGACTCAATTTAAACGGTATTTATTTTCATACTTGTTCAGTTTAGTTGAATTATTTTTCATATTGTAAAAAAACAGTAATATAAGCACCCACTGTGGTTATTATGAAAGTTTAGAAAAGGATAGCAACGTAAATTAAAGTACATACATACAGTAGCTGCATGTTTCTGGTAGTATATTTCTGCCAATAACACCACAGTAGAGTGCATGATAAATGTATCATTATTATTGGTGTAAATATGGTTAATTGTGAATAAAATATGCTGGTGCAATCTAGCATATGTTCATTTATCAAATGATACACAGGTATCATGAATCATCAGTGAGTGTAATAAATATTTCTTTCATGATCTCCTTCACTGTTATACGTACAGTATTACATTCTCTTAACTGGGGTGAAATACCTTTCCTATTGGTTTTAATCATGCAGGTTTACTGGTGAATTATTATATGCCGAACAGACGGAACAAGTAAGGGATAATTATTTTCCATGGTTTAGAACTGACAATTCACGGCTTTCCTTTCATCAGTATGATGGAAAAAGTGAATACTGTCATTTTTAAGACAAAAATTAAACTTAATCTAAAATTTCATTCGAATAATTTCTTTCGATCTGATCATTATTAAGCTGATTAGTCTATATGTTAGCATTTCGTTGGCATTTTTCTACTAGAAGTCTTCGAGACGACCAGCACTGGCGGACACTAGGGCTGAGGTTTCCAATTTTTTCCAACTTTTTTTGCGCGAGATAAATTTTTGAAATTGGCTTAAATTCATGGGAGGATATGTGCATTTGCTCTCATGAATGCCTAGAAAAGCTTTGAGGGTTCTTAAAATTTTTGTTATACACTTGTTGAACAACAGTCATGCGCTTTTATATTCTGCTCTTTCAAAGGTCTGTATATAATATCCACCATAGTCTCATATCTTTTTATATCACAACCAATACTATACCATATTATTCTATGTTTACAAGATTAGAACAAATTAACCAATATCAATAGGCGTGATCTCAGATGTGAGAGATTTATAACTGCCAGTTGTACTGCTAGATGACGAGTGTCTCATTTGTCTTTGTCTTTGTCTTTGGAAATCAAACTTCATGTTCTTGTCGTCTGGTTCTGGAAACACTGTCACTCCTGAGGGTGAAACTGGATCCGGGTTTTGTTTCTTGATATATTCGTGTAAATATGCACGAGTTGCTCTTCTACCAGACTAAAAAAAAATTAAAAAACGTGCATGTAATTTTTAAACTTACCATTATTGCAAGAATAATTTACCATGTTGGTTACGTGAACGATTCTGTGTAGCAACAGAAAGAGATGAAAGGGAGTACGTGCGTTCTTTTCCGGCTAGTTGAGACACAAACAGTAATAGCTTGCCTGCTTCTATTTATGCATGCCGATTTAAACAAATACGGTATATTGCTGTGTTGGTGTAATGTACTCAGGTGAATAAGATGTTTGTGTGATGTTACTCTGAGTGTATATCCACACCGGGCAAGCTTGAAAAATATGCCTGGCCACGATGGGAATCGAACCTATACGACCTTTGGAATACTAGCCCAATGCTCTGCCAACTTAGCTGCGCGGACAGGTCGGTTCGAGTATGCGATATTTCGGAACCGAGTCTAGTTCCCTCGATATCGGTGTAATCTAATAATCATGATATTTTGCTGTGTTGGTGTAATGTACTCAGGTGAATAAGATGTTTGTGTGATGCTACTGTGAGTGTATATCCACACCGGGCAGGCTTGAAAAATATGCCTGGCCACGGTGGGAATCAAACCTACGCCTGCCCGGTGTGAATATACACTCAGAGTAACATCGCACAAACAAATACGGTATAATTTGTTTGCGATGTTACTCTGAGTGCATATCCACACCGGGCGAGCTTGAAAAATATGCCCGGCCACGGTGGGATTCGAACCTACGACCTTTGGAATACTAGCCCAATGCTCTTCCAGCTGAGCTACGCGGTCAGGAC